CGGGAAGCCATTGCTACTCTACTTGTCAGTCTTGGATAACGCCTTCGTCTGTGTATTGGGTTAGCATGAAAAAACTAGGAGAAAGGAGCAAGCCATCTACTACTTGAGCAAGAAGTTCACGCCATGTGAGGCCAAGTATACACTGATAGAACGTACTTGCTGTGTCCTGGCTTGGATTTCTCAGAAATTAGGGCATTACATGTCAGCATACACTACACATTTGATATCTCAACTCAACCTGTTCAAGTACATCTCCTAGAAGTCGATGCCTACCGGAAAGCTAGCTAAACTGCAAATTTTCCTCAACGAATTTGACTAGAGAATTTGCTGGAGAAGATGTTGCAGAATCATACCTTCGATGGAAAATATTTTTTTCAATGGAGCAACAAACTTCAAAGGTGTAGGAATTGGGGCAGTCCTAATTTCGGAATCTAGACAGCACTATCTAGCATCAGCAAGATAAGATTCCCTTGTACCAATAATATTATTGAATACGAAGCATGCATCCTTGGAATCAGAATGGCAGTCGACATGAACGTCAAAGAAATTCTTGTCATAGGAGATTCCGATCTGTTGATACAGCAGGTCCAAGGGGAATGGTCCACCAAGAATTTCAAGATACTTTCATACCTGCACTACGTGAAGGAGCTATGCAAAAAGTTCACAAAGATTGAGTTCAATCACGTCCCCAGGATTTAGAACGAGTTCGCTGACGTCCTTGCAACCCTATCATCTATGATTAAGCATCCAGACAAGAACTACATCGACCCTATCGAGGTAGAGATTAGGGATCAACATGCCTATATTTTCCATGCAGATGAAGAACCAGATGGTAAACCATGGTATCATGACATCAAGAAACTCCTTGCGACCAGAGAGTACCCGCAAGATGCTACTAATGGTCAAAAGCGAGCCCTTAGGAGGTTGGAAAACCACTTTTTCCTCAATGGGGAATTCTTGTACATGAGGACCCCAGACTTAGGTTTGTTGAGATGTGTAGACGTTGCTAAGGCAAGCAGACTATTGGAGGAGATACATGCAAGAACGTGCGGACCCCACATGAACGGGTTCACATTAGTTAAGAAGATCTTGAGAGCTGGATACTTTTGGATGACTATGGAAAGCGACAGTATCCGCTACGTGCAGAAGTGTCACCAGTGCTAGATTCACGGGGATTTCATCCGGGTTCACCCTAGTCGTTCGCCGCTTGGGGCATGGACGTGATTGGACCTATAAAGTTTGCCACATCAAATGAACATTGTTTCGTCTTAGTAGCTATTGACTATTTCACCAAATGGGTCGAGACATCTACTTACAAGGCCGTCACAAAAAAGGTAGTGGCAGATTTCGTCCAGAACAACATCGTCTGTGGATTTGGGATACCAGAATCTATCATCACTGACAATGCCGCTAACCTCAATAGCGACCTCATGAGAGAAATCTGCGATAAGTTCAGAATCGTCCACCGCAATTCCACAGCCTACAGACCACAAATGAATGGGCAGTCAAGGCAACCAACAAGAATATCAAGAGAATTCTACGAAAGATAGTGAACAATCACAGACAATGGCACGAGAAATTACCTTTCGCCTTACTATGTTTTCGAACCACCTTGAAAACATCGACTGGGGAAACGCCGTACATGTTGGTATACGACACTAAAGCGGTGATACCCGCAGAGGTCAAAATATCGTCTTCAAGGGTCATTCAGAAGGCAAAATAGGACGACGCAGAGTGGATACGGGACATACAGGAACAACTTATGCTCATTGACGAGAAAAGAATGGATGCAATATGTCATGGTCTGCTATATCAGAACAAGATGGCCAGTGCATCTAACAAGAGAGTGAAGCCTTACCAATTCTCACCGGGGCAGTTGGTCTTGAAGAAAATCTTTCCCCGTCAAGAAGAAGCTAAAGGAATGTTCGCACCAAACTTGCAAGATCCTTACGTGGTTCACCGAGCAATGTCGGGTGGAGCTCTAATCATGGCAGAAATGGATGGAAGAGTCAACACGAAGCCTATCAACTCAGACGCAGTTAAGAGATACTATGTCTAAGGATAAATAGAGTTAGGTTTTTGATGTAACAGAACTACGTTAAACATAACTTCCCATGGAGGGATACGTAGGCAACCCACGTAGGGTTATGTTTCTCTCGCCATTTATCTTTTAATAAAAAAAACCAAATATCACTTTTGTATGTTGCTTAGGAACTACGCCGACTTGATTTCCTTATAAAGGAATAGGTAGGCAACCCTCATCGGATTCAGTTGTATCTTATAATTAAACTACATTCTGGCCTGATTCCATTTGGATATATAGGCTGTCTGAGACAGACTCGGCCATCACTACTAGAAATTACACCTATGGGAACCCTTCCAAAACCGTCGCAATAGATACACTAACCATCCCTGTAGGGCTAATGGGACGATTGGGACGCGTTCCAGGATTTAATGTTACAATAGGTCAATTGGAACGGTTATTTGTAACGGTTTCAAAACCGTTTCCATATAGGGATATTGTAACGGTTATGGAACTGCTATCATTGCTCCATCTATGGGAACGGTTTTATGTTCTGTTGGCACGGTTATAAACTGTTGCGGTATAATTATACTAACGATCTTTTAAGCCTATTGCAATGGTTTTCATGATATATTGCAATGGTTTTTGTGATATATTGGAACAATTATCAGTATCGTATTGCAACGGATATTGCAACATATTGCAACTGTTATTAGGGGTTGCTGTTTTTATTTACTAGGTCTATTGAAACGGTTATATTCTTTTTATTTGCTAGGTCTATTAAAACGGTTATATTCTCTATTGCAACAATTCACAATTGTAATTCTGATATTTATGGAAGCAAAATGAGGAATATTTTTCTATGCAATGAAATTTTATACACCTTAACTTATATAAATCACGAAATAAAATTAAAATATCTAACTAGCATTAGCCATATACAAAAACAAAATATGAATACATTGTTTGATCAACAATTCATCAAAATAGATGAGTTTGCATCCAAGAAGTTCTAAACTAAAATATCCTTAAACATGATAATAGAAAGTCTAACAACGAACAACTCCACTCAAATAAGGTCTTCGTCACTGCTTTCATCCATAATCGATGCACCTACAAAAGACAATCAGAAATAATTAAACAAATTTTTTTAGATAGTTGAATCACAAAGTAATTGAATAACCAATTTGATAACTCAAAAAATTTTCAACTCTCCAAATTCTTATAATTTTCGGCAACAATCAAATGAAGTTGTTCATCATCACATAACATAGAAGAAGCCAGCAATCAATCAAGACCATAAATTAAAAACAATGAACAATCAGCAAAACTCTTCTACATCACATGGCATTCAATCAACTAATATGGAGCTTACTCTATGAAGGCAGGGTATGCTAAAATATGCTCTAACAATATAATGATTGATCTATGGACTTGGAAACTAGCTAGTATGGAAGATAAAACTGCCACCCAAAGTTTGTTGCTTCAGCTGGTTGGCCTTAAAGGATGACTGCCTCACCCAGAAGAGACTTTTAACTGGCCAAAGGTTTGGTTAAATTGTTTCACTGGATAACCTTAAATTTCCTATATGCAGATTATGTGATTTTGTTGCTTTTGGTGTTGCAACTGCCACTGGTGGTGTCTATGCCTTATAAAAATTATAGTTAAAACCATTGAAGGGAAACAATTCTAAGGAAGACATGAATTCTGAATCAACCTTAACAGAGTCAATTCTTGGATGGCATTGTAAAATTCCAATTCCCACAAGAAACAGTTATGTCAAGAATAACTTGGTAGACTTCCAAAATCTAATTAAACAAAGATCCCTCTCATGTGCGACCCTACTCATGTGTGACAATACACAAGCCAAAAGCAGTAAACCAAATACTTCAATACAACCAAAACAAGCCAAGATTGCAAATTGCATCATCATTCCAGCATTTAGACAATAACAACAACGGCTCAATTAGTATGCTGCTTAAGAATAGATTACAAATAGTAAAAGAAGTGATAAAATTAGAAATAGTATTCCAGAAAAGGTTCTACTGGAAAATAATCTAAAGAATGTTTTGACAAGAAGCTATATTTTAGCTTATGAAACTGAGTATTTGCAATGCATTCAAGAATCATTAATCTTATGTTCTGTTGGGATTACAAATATTAGAACTCCACCCCCCTCCCCTTCCCCCTTCCAACTCCCAAGCAACAAATGTCAAAATGTATAAAAAAGAATCAAGAAACACTTTGCAAAATAAATATCAATATGTATGCTACCTGCCTTTTAATCTATCCAAAAGACATGAAAGCATAAAACATTGTATCACTTTTTATACACTAAAGAGACTTAGCAAGTATAAAATATTGTTGCGCATATATCATGGAGTATACGCAATAATGACGATAAAGAAAAGTAGAAGCAGTGAAGCAGTAACAGAAAGAGAAAAAACAACAATGGCTAAGAAGAACCAGAGGAAACATCTCCAGGAAGAAGAAGAAGAAGAAGACGACATACCTGGAGTTTTTGAGAGTTCCAATATCTGAGGAGTTCCTTAAACTGAGAAGCTGGTACATCTTCAGGGATATGTTGCATTCGAGTTTTATCATTTGCATAGGCGTCAAAGTATTCTTTTTTCAATATACTCTTGTGCTTTCTCCAGGCAGCTTGGACTGATTCTAAAGTCCATTTTTTTTCCAGCTTCAGTAATATCATATTTACCCTACAATTTGTGTCAAATCTGTTAATGCAGAAAATATGAAAGATTGTCAACCAAAAATTAAAAATTAATAACTTTAGACCTTGATATATTCCCATATATCCTCTTTTGTGTCCATCTTTCTCCAATCCAAAATATCAAGAGGACACAGAGTCGCATTCCTTTCCAATGTGCCAAGGAAGATTCCAAACTCTAGCACATCTGCTTCACTAGGACCAACAGATCGATTTAAGTAGTTAAGTAAAATCACTTTGCGCTCCCCCGTCCATGTACACTTTTCATCTTTGTTTTACCTCTTTTCCTTGTTTGAATAGAAGGGCCTTTCCTTTGGATTTTGAAAGTCTTTCTTGACTCATATTTATCGGAATCTGATGAAGAATACAAATAAAAATAGCTCTAACGGGTATTATAATAAAGACAATAAGGTTCAGATGACTATTACCTCCACAATAAACTTCTTCTTATGAGTTTCTTCTTTTCCTATTTACCTGCCAAAAGATAAATAAGATACCATAATTATAAGACTACAAAGTATATATAAATTCAAATGGAGTTCAAACGCCAAGGTCATGTGCAAGAATAGAAAATTTAAAACAAAGGTTGCTTGAAATGGAATAAAAATGAGTTTAAGCTTCTCTGATCCTACTCCACCACCTCAGAGCGCTTTCTGTTCTGTGCAAATCCCAAGAGGGAAGATAGATTTCTTTAACGGGTTATCAAAGTGACGATTCACACAATTCACAGTTTCTTGCAACTCATTCCCATACAGATATTGCACAGCCAGAAAGTTTTAAAGAATCCATTGAGAAAATGCAAAATAGAAACATGAATGAGCAGCTTGTTTCTACCGGAAAGCCATTGAGCTATGGTCCTCAAACTGCAGCACATGATCTTAGTTGAAAATAAGCAGAGACTATTACAGCTATGAATTGCAAAAGTTTTTTCGAATATTTCAGCTAGAAAATATTCCCATAAATCACCTTTTTCTCTTTTTAACTGAATGCCGATTAAGAAGGAACTTGTCTCAGTGTTGAAAAGAAAACATACTTCTTCAGCGAAGTAAACTATGAACTTGTCTAAGGGTTGAAAAGAATACATACTTATTCAGTAAAGTAAACTATGGTTCTAACTCAACTGTACATATGGGGTAAGTTCTTTTATTACCTGATGTATTCTGACTGCTGCAAATTTATCTAATGTCGTTTTCGTTGGTGTTGGGTGCAACTTTAAAGGTTGTAGTAAAAGCTCAACATTCTGAAAGTAAAAGAGTACATATAATTGTTGGTCACTTCGCATTTGAAAGCAAAAGCTTGCTTATAGTTATATAAAAAGTCATAATGTGGTAGGCCTAAATCCTTCTTTTACATGCAACTATAAGTTAACATTAACAATAACAAACGAAGATTCAAGCTCAGTTATCGTCCGTAAGTCCATCAACTAACATTATTTTGGTGGGAGGTCATATTCAATATGAACCAAGAAATGGCCTCCCAGACGGCCAAAAGGAGCTTTTTATTTTACATTCGCCAAAAATAATGGGGTTAAAATATTTCTAAACTATATTACAAATACCAAGAAGTCTATCACTGGACATTGATATATTTTCATAACATTGAGATGAAGTTGTGATTTTTCAGCAATATTATTGATAGAATTTGAGGGTCCACCAAACACTATAGAGAATCAGGTTCTCTATCGGTTTCCACAAATTTTGCAAACACAGCAGAAAGTAAATAACACAGAGAGTTTTTACTTAGAAAATTTCCAGCTCAACGGAATCAAAAATCACGACCTACCCTTGTAAGATTTCAACTTCACTACTGAGCAAAACGTTTAGATTACAACCTATTGTAACCTAGGAATTAACTCCTTAATCCCTCACTAACTTGTAACACACGTATTACAAGCCACTTTGTAATACCTCTATTATAAAGACTTTACAACTTGACTAACTCTAGCCAAGACAAAAACGCGGGGGTTTATGATTTACAAGAGTTTCCTACACAATGCTTCTAAGTAAGCAAAGTAGGAATTACAAGTAAGAACATTAATAAAGTTACAACTCAACTAAGGACATACAATCACTTGATATGGGGAACTGGTCCATAGCAGTGTTGTTCTTTGTTCTTGATGCACTTGAGAATCGTTAACTAGAAGATCAATCACTATTGGAGTGCTTGAGTAAATTCTCTAAGTATCTGAGTGATTTGTTTTACCTTCCTTGATGTTAATAATGCATTTGCGACATCACTAGGATGATGTAAGTAAAGTAGGTAAAAGACACTCCCCATAAAGTTGACTGTTGCATTGTTTCTGCACTGTAGCTGCTACATGCAGCAACTTTACAGCTGGGGCAGTTGACTTGTGCAGTTTCCTCGGGAAACGGTAGCTATCTGTTCCCTCTGTTGTTCCTTTGACTCTGAAGAGTTGAACCATATCCCAAGCTAGAACCTTTTGATCTTAAGGTCTTGAGAATGTGTAACAGGTTCCTTATCTGGTTCTTGACAGTAAGTTTGTTAGATCATCAAAATATAACAGTGGTATACATATAGCCTATCAATTTTCCCCTTTTTGATGATGACAAACTTATAATTCAAGTTCCCCCTAAGAACCAGCATTTCCTGAATTCCCCCTGAATCTGTTTCCCACCTTGTTCCCCTTGAATTATTTTTTTCCCTTTTGGCATCATCAAAAGATTAGTAACAGGCTTATAGCAGAAAGAAGTCTAGCTTGAGTTAACTCGTGCCACTTGTGTGCACACAACATGACTAAAACCAAAGCATAAAGACAAGGCTTATACAGCAAAAAGGGAAAAGCTTCCATTAAAAAATTTGGATTTGAAAACAGGGAGCAGAGTCAATGTTACTGACAACCATCCACAATTCAAAATAACAAAAACAAATACCACAAACATCAAAAAAGAAATAATCATAGGAAACCAATACTTAAGACTTGACAATGAGAGGACACTGTTTAGGGAGCACTGGAAGGAGAGAGCTTAGAGATAGAGGCAAGAGTTTGGAGTATGAGATCCATTCAAGCATTCGCCGACATTTGCTCATTGAGCAGTTTCTCTTTCAGGTCCTCCACCTGTTTCTTGAGATCAGCATTCTCCTTGGTCAGACGGGCAACTTCTTCACTTTGAGAGATACCGGAACCATGTGCCTCCTGAAGTTGACTCAACTGACTCTCAAGAATTGCATTCCTTGCTTTCAACAGCCTTATCTCAGCAATAGCACTGTTCTGAGCGTTGATCAACTGAGAAATGGTAGAAGTGCTTCCAACTCCTCCGGCCCTATCAATGCACTCACATTCTTCCAGAGTAGACTTGGAGAAAGTTTGCTTCTTAGTGCCCACTTTAGCTTGACCTAGAGGAACCTTGAAGTACTCAAAGACCTTGGTGAGAAGGAACCCATAAGGAAGCCTATGATTACCATTTTTAAAATCTACCACTTTCTGCATGTGCTCTATCATGATCCCAGGCAGGTTGATGGTAATGAAGTTGTCCAGTGCTTCCATGAGGAACATGTCTGCACGAGAAGTGATAGATCTTTTCTCAGCACGAGGGAGCAAGACCTTGTTCACCATCTCAAATAGCATTTAGTACACGGGAAGGAGGGCCTTCTTCTGTACCCGTTCCCCTTGCTGAACTGCTCTTCCTTAAAGATGGCATTTCTGAAATTTTTAGAACAAGATCCCTGAACACTAGACAGCCCGTCAGCAGGCACACCCAGAATAGATCACAACAAAGCAGAGTCCATTACCATATCAACTCCATTCACCAGCACGCAGATATGATCATCCTCAACTTTGAAGAGGTCGGCATAGAAACTTTAAACTTCCTCCTCATACACCTTTGGAGCATCACTTGTGAACAAATGTGTCCACTGTTGAAACTCACAAATTTTAACCAGTTGTCTCATACCAACCTCCTCCAAAATGTCAGGGGCAAATGTGCGGCCTCATAGAACCTTTTGATGCCTCAACTTCTCTTTCCCAGCGCTCCTTGGATCACTAACTTTGGCCTTCTTTGAGGAACCAGGTTCCTCATCAGCATCAGCTTTTCTCCTAGCAGACTTGCGAACATTCTTTCCTTTTTCATCAGACTTCACAGACCTTTCACCCAATTCTTGCATCACCCTGGCAGCAGACTCGGCAGCAGACTCTTCTACCATCTTATCACCAGATTCTTTCACCACATTTTCACTAGCGACAACATCATCAAACTTGTTCAAACTTTCAGCAGACACAGAAGATCCCCTTTTAGGATTGAGGAACATGTCGGTGTTTGAATGGATGAGGACTCAATGGGGGTGTCACTTGGAACACTTGAGGTTTCGTGATTTTCAGCCATGGAAAGAAGTGATGAGTTAAGGAGAAGAGATGGGTAGTTTGAAAGATAGAAAGAACAAGGAAAATTTTAACGTTTGATGTGAGTTGTGACAGTGATGGATGTATTTAAGATTGATGAGGGACCGATTAAGAAAAGGCGGCAGTTTTGGGAATCGAGTTGATTTCTAACGAGTGAGATGTTTGGGTTCACAAGACGCAAAGAAAAGAAACTGACACACTGATGATGTGTCACCTGTTTTAACCGTTCAAAATTGTTCGTGAGAGAACAGAGAAACTACTAACCTGTGTCAGGAGAACCAAGTTCCCTGACTAATGTTGCATCTATAAGCTTTTCCCTCTTTACCACCGCGTACTGCATCACCTGCCTATTTGCTCTGTAATCATCATGCGTGTTTACCTGTAACGGTATAGAGATGAGTTAAACTTTGCCAGAAAACACTTTTTCGCTAATTTTACCTGAACAATTTTTTCATAGCCAATCATCGAAGGATCAGGTTCTCAGTTGGGTTTTATCAACCCCAGTGCCAGACGACTTCTTTCATAATGTTCTCTACTCAAGGCCTTGGTAAATATGTCTGCAATCCGATCTTCTGTGCTACAGAATTTCATGCAAATGAGCCCCTTTTCAACATTGTCTCTGAGGAAGTGATGACGTACATCAATGTGCTTGGTCCTCTTATGTTGGACTTGATTTTTGGCCATGTTAAGTGCACTTATATTGTCACACAAGAGGGGCACACAATCAGAGAATACTCCAAAGTCTTCCAACTGCTTTTTGATCCACAGCAATTGAGCACAACAAGAGGCAGTTGCTACATATTCCGCTTCTGCAGTTGAGAGTGCCACCAAGTTTTGCTTCCTTGTACCCCATGAGATTAGGCAAGAACCCAGGAAATGTGCCATTCTAGACGTGCTTTTCCTGGCCACCTAATATCCTGCATAATCAGTGTCAGCATACCCAATAAGATCAAAGTTGTCACATGAGGGATAGTAGAGAACCAGATCCTGCATTCCTTTGAGATATCTCAATATTCTCTTGGCAGCCTTCAGATGAGATTCCTTTGGATTGGATTGAAACCTTGCACAAAGGCCCACGCTAAACACAATATTTGGTCTGCTTGCAGTGAGATACAAGAGTGACCCTATGATCCCTCTATACATAGTTTGATTTATAGGAGAACCAGGTTCATCCATATCTAGATAAGTAGCTGTGGCAATAGGAGTGTTAATAACTTTTGATGTTTCCATGTCAAACCTTTTTAGCAACTCCTTGATGTACTTCTACTGACTTATCATTGTTCCCTTTTGAGATTGCCTCACTTGAAGTCCCAGGAAGAAATTTAATTCTCCCATCATACTCATCTCAAACTCACTCCCCATGAGTTTTGCAAACTCTTCACAAAGAGAGTCAGCTGTGGCTCCAAAAATGATATCATCAACATATACCTGAACAATGAGAAGGTTCCTCCCTCGTTTCTTCAAAAAAAGAGTGTTGTCAATTTTCCCTCTTGTAAAGCCATTTTCAAGAAGAAACTTTGATAACCTTTCATACGAAGCCCGGGGAGCCTGCTTTAGCCTATACAATGCCTTGTCTAGCTTGAATACATGCTCAGGATGCTCGTGACACTCAAATCCAGGAAGCTGCTTGACATAAACTTCTTCTTTCAGGTAGCCATTTAGAAATGCACTTTTGACATCCATTTGGAACAATGTGAACTCCATATGAGATGCAAAGGCAATGAAAATTCTAATAGCTTCCATTCGAGCAACTGGAGCAAATGTTTCATCATAATCAATTCCTTCTTCCTGATTGTAGCCTTGAACTACAAGACTTGCCTTGTTTCTTGTTGTATTTCCAAACTCATCAAGTTTGTTCCTGAATACCCACCTGGTCCCTATGATAGTTCGATCTACAGGTTGAGGAACCGGGTGCCATACCTTGTTTCTTTCAAATTGATGCAGCTCCTCTTTGGGGAAAAAAGGCTGAAAAGGCATGTGAGTTTCTTGCTTTTGATCTGGTTTGAATTTCTGAGTCAAGAGGGGTGATTATGTTGTCAAGAGGATGTGAGTTTTTGTGCTTCCAATTTGGTGCCTGAATCTCATTGGCAGAGGACCCAGGTACGTCTGACTAAGGTTCTTGGGTGCTTCTTACTTCAGCAAGTGGAGTACCTTGGACTGCATCAACAACTCTATTTTCAGCTTCAGTTGGTGTGATCAGTGGACCAGATTTCTCTCCAATAGATGGAGGTGTACTCGCATCATCTTCACTGGATTCCTTTACATGACTCATCACGTCTGCTCTTCCATTTGCCATGTCAATAACTTCTCCTGGAACAGATAAAGGTTTTCCATCTTGATTAGCGTGACTGTCTTTCTCACAGGAGAGGTGAGATTCATCAAAGTTCATATGTATACTTTCCTCAACACATTGAGTCCTTTTGTTGTATACTTTGTAAGATTTGCTTTGAGATGAGTATCCGAGAAAGATTCCTTCATCACTTTTGGCATCGAATTTTCCAAGGGCTTCCTTTCTATTGTTGAGAACAAAACATTTACACCCAAAAGTCCTTAGATGTGTCAGCTTGGTCTTCCTTCCATTCAGTAGTTCATATGGAGTCTTGTTCAGAAGGGACCTGATCATGCACCTGTTCACCAAGTAGGAAGCAGTGTTGACAGCTTCTGCCCAGAAATTCTTTGCAATCCCACTGTCAATCAATATTGTCCTTGCCATGTCTTCAAGAGTTCTATTCTTCCTTTCCACAACACCATTTTGTTGAGGTGTTCTTGGAGCTGAGAAATTGTGAGTGATAATATTTTCATTACAGAACTCATCAAATTGGGCATTGTCAAACTCTGTCCCATGATTAGACCTGATGCAGGCTACCTTATTACCCATCTTCACTTGGATCATTTTGACAAAACCAACGAACACTTCAAAAGTTTCATCCTTGGTTCTGAGAAACAAGGTCCAGGTGAATCTGGAGTAGTCATCAACTATCACAAAGATGTACTTCCTTCCTCCTTTGCTTGGCACCCTCATAGGTCCACATAGATCCATGTGAAGAAGATCAAGTGGCCTTGAGGTACTGACTTCCTTTTTGGGCTTGAATGAGGATTTGACTTGCTTGCCTTTTACACATGTATTACACACTTTGTGATCCATAAAGCTTGACTTGGGCAGACCACGAACCAGGTCCTTCCTGACCAATTTGTTCAGCGACATGAAGCTTGCATGACCCAGCCTCCTATGCCATAATTCAGCATCATCATCAACAACACTTAGACAGCTGAGATCACCATTATACAGAGACTCAAAATCAGCAACATAGATATTTTTGTATCTTCTTGCCACTAGCACCACCTCACCAGTCACAAGGTTTGTGACTGTACATATTTTTGACACAAATTTCACCTTGTTTACCTTGTCACAGATCTAGGAAACACTTAGCAAGCTATACTTCAACCCGTTCACGTAGTACACATTTTCGATTGAGTGTGAGACAGACTTCCCAATCCTTCCAACTCCCAGAATGTATCCTTTCATTCCATTTCCAAAGGATACACTCCCTCCTTGCAGGGCCTTAAGTGAAAGAAAGTCATTTGTACTTCCAGTCATATGCTTTGAGCAGCCACTATCCATGTACCATTGTAGGTTGCTTCCTTTCACTGTTCCCTGCACAAGAAAATCAGGAGTCAGATTTAGGAACCCAAACGATTTTGGGTCCCTTGTAATGAGGAAAGGGGTGAATAAGGGATCTTCTAGTCCAAGCAGGCATTATACATTTTTTATATGCGGGACCAGGTTCTCTACCAGTAGTTACTTTTTCAGCAAAAACTTTATTTTTCTGCCGTGACTTAAATCTGGCCATACAGTTTTCTTTAAAGTGCCTAGTGTTACTGCAGTGAGTGCAATGCCAATTGTCAGGTACAGTAACGTACTTGCTATGAGGGTTGTAGGGAATCTTTTTCCCTTGGAACATAATCCCCTGCCTGTTTTCCCCATTATTGGTGTACATGGCAGTGATAGCATCAGAGGACCAGGTCCATTTGAGTGATTTTTCAAGATCACTCTTCACTCTACCTAGTTTTTTCTGAAGTTGTTTGTTTTTCGCAAGCTCAGCACACAGACTAGACTTCACTAAATTTAACCTCACTTTCAAGCTTAATGTGTGCCTCACTTGCAACTTCCTTTCTCTTTTGAGAATTTTCAGGCCTACTCTCCATTTTAAGTTCCCCAATTATTTCCTTCAAGTCCACTACCACTACTAATAGGTCATCTCTCTCATGCTCAATGTTAGCAACTCTCTCACCTAAGACTTCTTTTTCCTTTCTTACACACTCAAAGCTCTCTTTTAGGTCTATCACAACGACCATTAGATCATCTCTTTCATGTTCTATATGTGCAATTTTTTCATCTAAGGCATCCTTCTCTTTCTTCAAGATCTCAATTGTTTCCTTTAAATCAATAACAGCGATTACTAAGTCATCTCTGGTTTGTTCTGTTTCTCCTAACTCCACAGTTAAAGCATCTTTATTATTTATAAGACTGTGATAAGCATCAATTAACACATTTGCCAAAGATATGAGTTTTTTAGGAGAATAAGATTTCAGATTTCTCTGAACATCCAGAAAATTTACCTCATCATCGTCGTCATCTTCATCATCATAAGACTGAGCCATCAAGGCAAATATTGAGTCATACTCAGTTGCTTCACTTTCCACTGCCATCATTAAACTATCACCGTGATCATTTTCTTCTTCAGACTCACTGGAGGAGTTTTCCCATGCAGCAAGAGCTTGCTTTATAACATTGTCAGCGGCATTCATTCTCTTGAAGCGTTTATCAGAAACCGGGTTCATCTTGGCTGCTTTGTGAAAGTTGTTTTTGTACTGATCTTGCTTTAGGAGAGGGCACTCCTTGATGAAGTGTCTTGGATTGCCACATTTATGACAGAGGTCATAATTTTTTGGCTTGCTAGAACTTCCCCTTTTTGGAATGCCTCCATTCCTACGAACCATCTTCTGGAATCTTCTTGTCAAGTAAGCCATATCACCATCCTCACCACTTGAATCATTGTTGTCAGTCTTGAGGACCAGGTTCTTCTCCCTTTTGGGTTCTCTTCTTTCATTGTCCTTCTTCTTCTTCATTTCATATGTTTTCAGATTTCCAACAAGTTCATCTATGGTCAGTGTCTGCAAGTCCTTCGCCTCTGTAATGGCATTCACTTTGCTTTCCCAAGAACTGGGCAGTACACTAAGGATTTTTCTGACAAGCTTGTTTCTTGGAATAGTTTCACCAAGAGAGTGAAGCTCATTAATGATGGAGGTGAAGCAAGTATGCATATCTTGGATGGATTCATCATCTTTCATCCTGAAGATCTCGTATTCAGTTGTGAGCATGTCGATCTTGGATTGCTTAACCTGTGTTGTTCCTTCGTGAGCTGTCTGAAGAGCCTCCCGGATTTCTTTTGCTGATTGGCATGCCGATATCCTGTTATATTCATCAGGACCAATGCCACAAACAAGAATTTTCTTTGAACGGAAGTTCTTTTCTATGGCCTTTCTATCAGCGTCATTGAATTCCTTCCTCGTCTTGGGAATGGATACAGCTGGGTCGCGAAGATTCTTGGTGGGAACAAAAGGTCTATCATAGATAACATCACATAGATTTGAATCTTCAGATATGATGAAGTCGTGCATCCTAGTCTTCCACCATCCATAGTACTGGCCATTAAACCTTGGTAGCCTGTACGTAGACTGACCTTCTTCAAAGTTTGGTGGAGCAGCCATGAAGATCCTTTCTAGGTGTTAGCCTGATAGAAAGAACCTGCTCTGATACCAATTGATAGAAGTCGAGTGTCCACCAAACACTATAGAGAACCAGGTTCTCTATCGGTTTTCACAGATTATTCAAACACAACAGAAAGTAAATAACACAGAGAGTTTTTACGTGGAAAATTCCCAGCCCAACGAGATCAAAAATCACGACCTACCCTTGTAGGATTTCAAATTCACTATTGAGCAAAACGTTTAGATTACAACCTATTGTAACCTAGGAATTAACTCCTTAATCCCTCACTAACTTGTAACACACCTACTACAAGCCACTTTGTAATACCTCTATTACAAAGACTTTACAACTTAACTAACTCTAGCCAAGACACAAACGCGGGGGTTTATGATTTACAAGAGTTTCCTACACAATGCTTCTAAGTAAGTAGGAATTACAAGTAATAACATTAACAAAGTTACAACTCAACTAAGGACATACAATCACTTGATATGGGGAACTGGTCCGTAGTAGTGTTGTTCTTTATTCTTGATGCACTTGAGAATCGTTAACTGGAAGATCATCACTATTTGAGTGCTTGAGTAAATTCTCTAAGTGTTCGAGTGATTTGTTTTACCTTCCTTGATGTTAATAATGCATTGGTGACATAACTAGGATGATGTAAACTGCTGTATTGTTTCTGCACTGTAGCGTGTGCAAGCAGAAACTTTACAGCTGGGGCAGTTGACTTGTGCAGTTTTCTCGAGAAACGGTAGCTATTTGTTCCCTCTGTTGTTCCTTTGACTCTGAAGAGTTGAACCATATCCCAAGCTGAAACCTTTTGATCTTAAGGTCTTGAGAATGTGTAACAGGTTACTTATCTGTTTCTTGACAGTAAGTTTGTTAGATCATCAAAATATAACAAGGATATACATATAGCCTATCAATTTCCACAGAAAGAAAAAAAAAACATCAAAATGATTTTTCAGAATAACGAACAAGAAATCGAACATCAAACAAAAATCACAATGGATTTATCTTGGTTTCTAACACAAAATCAAAATGAAAGCACAAAATGTATAATTCAAACAACAAACAGAAGTAAAATTATTAGTTTATCGGCAATATTACCTGAGAAAAAGAGAAAGAGCATCGAAATGATTTTCCAGAATAACGAACAAGACAACAAGCATCGAACATCGATAGCAAACATAGAACAAGGGAAATATCTTGATTTCTAATACAAAATAAAAATCCACCAACAAAACCCCCAATTTTAAAAATTAGAAATCATAAAAATTATCATATAAAACAGACAAAGAACATAAGCAAAATAATGGGTGTATGAGAAATATTACCAGAGAAAGAAAACCGGAAAAGTAGCAAAATAATTTTTCAGCAAAGCATTTTTTTAGCGAAACATCGAAATTCCATGCAAACACCGAACATGGAGAAAACACTGACAGCCAACATTGGATTTTGCCTTACATTAGCCGAAGTGGACGTCTTTCGCCGGAATCGGTCTTCCTTCGCCGAAGTAGGCTGTAAATTTTGGTCGATTTTGGATTCTAAGTTAAAGCTTAAAAGAGGCGTGAGTTCTTAGTGAGAGAGACGGAAGATTTCATAGGAGTGTGTCTTTTAAAATATAAAATATAAATTAGAAGTAGTTATTAAAATACTTGTGGAGTCCTACATTTTGTTTTTTTAATAAATAAGTAGGGAAAAATGAACCGTCCCAATACACTTTTATTTTACCGAACCGTTCCCACAAATAACCCTACTATATCACCTTTATAAACCGTCTCTATAGCGTTAGTTACGGTAACAGTTGTTATACTATTGGAACGGTTTTTCTTCTAAAGTGTCCCAAAAGCCTTTTGTTTCTACTGGGACGATAAAAAACGTTCCAAAATATGATGTATTGTAACAGTTATATAACCGTTGCAGAATAATTGTTCCAATAGGACCATTTTCTAGTAGTGCATTTTCATTCTTAATATCATCATTTTGCATCTGTTGCAATCAAACTACGTTTTTGGCCTGATTCTCCCTGATTCCATTTTGAATACATAGGCAACCTGAAAGGGCTCGGTCATAACCATAGGAAAAGCCTTGTAATGCATTAGTTCAAATTAGAACGTAATCGCGACAGCAAGCAGCCGTGTTGTTGGAAACATTACGGAAAATCGACATCAACAGGACAAAGTTTCAAGAAGATATGCTCACGCGTGGAAAACCTTTCACAACATGTCATAGTCCGGAACGACTGCATTTGCCTTAAAAACAATGTATTTTCAAAATGTTTTCTAAAAAATGTATATACAGTAATTTGTTCCATCTACCGAACTTCGTGGCGGAATCATGTCAAAGGCCGGTGCAAACCAACACTATGGTCGACATAAACCAACTCCCCCCCCCCCCCCCCCCCCCCCACTAAGAATTTTTCTTTGAATGTAGGGTCAACCGGGAGTAAGGAAGCACTAGGGCAAATGACGGACCCGCCACTTGCCTAAGATTATCTCTCTTCCTTCTTTACTTAAACTTTTTCTGGTACAGCTACGGGTAACCTTTGAATCCTTTATAGGTACCTCGGAATCACACATTTGATACAAAAAATCCTATATATCGCAAACTGCCTGCTCAAACAATCGGAGCACCCTGTACAAACAAGTCGTCAACTTCACCGATTAAAGTCCTGTATATAGCAAACCGTCAGCTCAATCGACCGGAGTGCCCTGTACAAATCGAACGTCGGCTTCACCAATCAGAGCCTTGTATATAGCAAACTGCAAACTTCACCAACAAAGAAACTCGCATCGCCACTCCGTCGCAATGGATGCCATAATAGACAGTCGCGAACCTCGTCACCGACGTTCTGCCAATCGATGGCTGCAACTTATCTTCGTAGTCAAGAGTATCTCTTGAGCATGCTCTTATTTGCTATTACTTTGAATGTTTTAACGTTTTTCTCATGCAGCTTCGGGCATGCTTAAGGTTTTAGTTAATCGCTCACAAGCGGAGATTACTTTACATTTCAGTGCAAAGCTGTCCCAACAAGCGGAGACGCACTTTACAAATCAAGCTCTCCTATCAAGCGGAGACATTTCTAGCTCTCCCAACAAGCGGAGACGCACTCTACCAATCAAGCTTTCCCAACAAGCGGAGACAATTTTCAAATGCTCCAACAGCTGTGGAACGATACACAACCCGGCTTACAAATCAAGTCAAGATCAAGTATCCCATCATCCCAACCCCAAATAACGGCTCGCCGACAGCCAGACATCATCATTCCTGCATCATGTACATCACATCTTAACATATTCTGCATTACAATAAATTGGTATGCGTGTATTTCATTTGTTTTGCAAAAATAAACACCGCAGTATGGAACTTTTCTTAGCAGCATGCCAAACTGTAACGCTATGAGGGACAGCCAACCCATTAGCGTGCCTAGGATCCAAGTTCAAGATGATCAGTGAAACTCAAAATTGTCAAATCCTACAAATCAAGCTGCAAAATTCAAGCTATCATGAGAGGCCAATCCTCCGTCTCATCGTATCGTCATAATACGATACTGGAAAAGTTCCTATGAGTCTCGCTTCCTCAAACTCTTCACTCTAGAACTACATGAGGCCTGATCCTCGTTAAGCCCGAGGTATGTAGGCAATTCAAAACCAGAATTCAGCCCCAATATCTCCAAAATATTTCCCAAAAATCTTCCTAGATTCTTCCTTAACTCAATCTTGTAATTCACAATCCTCATTCCTGCAATACATGCTTGAAGTCGGGACAAAATTGGCTTTGGTTCAATTTCTTTGCTCGAAAACTCTTTCATCGTTTCTGGTCAAAGATGGAAAGTTGTTGACGGCTAATTTTGACACTCCCTTTTTAAATTACTTTATTTATACTTAATAATTTATAATAAATATTTTTAAAGTGTTTCCTAGTAACAAATACTTATTTTTTACAAATTAATTAAGTAGTAGTTTTCAAAATTGATCGTGTAGTATTAACATTATGTAATTACAAGTATATTTACTATTTTATGATCATTAAAATAATTCTTATATATACATTACATATGTTCTATAATTAATTTAATGAATTGCTCTTTAATTTCTAGTTAATTAGACTACTATGTTAAAAATCCGAAATTAGTGTTGCAATTTAGAAAAACAAAGTATTTTGCAAATAATCAATTAAAATAATTAGTAGTATATATAGCAATTATAATTTTTACCAAATTTATTGAAAATTATTAAGTTTATTTAAATTAAATTCAAAAACGGATTAAAAGACAAAAGGGCTACAATTGCAATTCTCAATCAAATGCAAAATGGCCATTTCTTAAATTTATTTTAGCCCAATTAGCACGCCCAGTCCGAAATATACCCGATCCAAACACTCATCTCTTTCCACTATGGCGATCTGTGCCATCTCTTGTTCACCAAGGCCCAGTCCGAAATATACCCGATCCAAACACTCCTCTCTTTCCACTGTGACGATCTGTGCCATCTTTTGTTCACCAATCACCGCATGCCATGTCACCATCTCCAACCACTCCCACAAGAAACACAACGAATTTGAGTTGTTTGTTCCTTAGATCGACGACTCATAATTGGTCTCCGTTTCTCTTTAATTTAAATACCCAGAGATCTAATCTCAACCATCCGATCAAAGTAATCCAATAGCCATCGATTTTTCTCACTTTAATCATTTTCGAATTTCTAATTACCAAAATAATCGAAGTCGTTGATCAACAGATCCAATGGCTCCCGTTTTATCTCTCGTCTTTAATCCTAGAGACGGACCCTATTCCCCCAAACCCTAATCATTTCCTCCTTGACACAGTCGCCCTCATTTCCCTTTCTTCTCTCTTTTCTCTCATCTCAATCAACCATCATTCTCAGAACCTTGCACAAATTTGTGCAAGGTCACTTTAAACCACTGTAAATCATCCCTTTTGTCCTTGCTACACCACGAATCCCACATATAATTTCCTCTTTCATCACATAAGTTCAAGGCCCCTAATCCGAAACCCTAAGCTCAAAAGATAAATTATCTGATTTGCTCTCATAAGTCAAAGATCGAGCCTGAAACCACCATTTGCCTTCTGAAATCCGCGAATCCAGCCGGCTATTTCCTATTTCATCATTCAAATTCAAAACACCCAAATCCTGAAACCCTGGACTCAAGAGTGTAACTTCAAATCTCTGATTTTCCTTCGAGTTCCGTCAAATCGGAGCATGCATGGAGTCGTCTTAGAATTCATCATGAGGATTCGATGTCCAGAGGTCAAACTCAGTTACCTCTAAACATTATGGTTTTAACCACTGGTCAAAAGACTTCAACGGACGACCCTCGTGCTCAGGTAAACTCGACCTTGTTTTCCCCTCTATTTTCTTTCTGATTTCACTCAATCTTGCTATCATCATCTACCATGCGTCACTTCCCACTAATAATTTTGAATTCGTTTCAAACCTTAAGGGCCTTAAATGGCACTATAAATAGAGCCTTTAATGTTCTCATCTACAACGACCTAATACTGAATAACGACCTAACACTGAATAACGACCTAACACTGAGAAAAAACAACCTAACATCATCTACTACAACCCAGAATCACCAACTAGGCGACTATCTAAGAGAATATCTGAGATTTTAGAAACCTAGGGTTTCTTACTGATTCCTGTTCTTTTGTTTTTCGAGTGCTTTCACTGCTTCGAGCTTGAAATCGTGTGTCTTAAGAGATTAAGAAGGATCCTTGTTTGGTCTTCTACCCTCGAAAAGGTCAGTATACCTTCAACTTTTCTCTTCTATTCA